ATCGTGTTGATCGTCTACCTAATCGTTACCTCTTCGATCGGACTGTACACCGCTCCATGCGCAAGAAGGTTTAGGCCAAAGAAAAGGGCCACACCATTCACCCTACTAATCGCCAACTGTGCTCTATTGCTCGTTGTCAGTTCTGCACTGCCACTGCTCGCCAAGATACTCGGTAGGTTTAGGGACAATTTCAAAAACTTGATTGAACTGGGATCAAGCTCGAAAACCAAATTCAATATTCGGAGGCTGAAAGGATCAAATTCAAAATTCAAATTCTTTATTCATTCTCTTGATCTCAAAGAGGTATCGAGCAAGTCATACTTAAATTAGGAAAATACAAAAATCGAAAAAGAAAGAGAAAAACCAGGAACAAAAACTAAATTAATAGTAAATAAATACATACATACATATATCACATATAAAGATCGTCACATAAGCACAGAACCTCACATGTATACAGGGTGATTCACAAGTCGTGACCAAAAAATGAAACATCATACACAGGACCGCATTTTAAGGAGGGTCTTCTATGTAACATTTTTTCCTCGAGGGCTTCCTCAAAAAGATACGGGGTGTTGGAGTTTAAAAATGAAAGCATTTTTTTAATATCTTTATAGTCGTCAACTGGAATGAACTAAAATTTGGTATGTGGATTTACCTAAGTATTGTCCACATTCAAAAGTCTTTACTTGAAATTGACGTGCACCAGTGGCGGATATACAGGGGATAAGTGGCATTATTTTTCCAAAATAACGCGCAATTTTTCGAATTTTCCCCTCAATTTGCTACAAATAATTACTCTTCTGTTTTTTCCTAGAGTGCACTGTTTTCGTAAACTTAAAAATAAAACAAATTAGATAATCAAAGATTTATTTCAATAAACGTTCAAAAAGATCACCATTCTGACGGATACAAGTGCGACATATGTTTAATAAAGAAAAAAGTATTTCCGCTAAATTTGTTGTGGCTTGAATTTGATGAAACGCAGTATCTATTCTTTCTTGTAACTGATCAACAATATTAATTTGTTCAGCATACTTTATTTAAAAGCGCTCCACAAAAAGAAATTCAGGGGGTTCAAATTAGGAGACCTCGCAGGCCAATGTACGGGTCCCTTTCTACCAATCCATCTTTGTCTAAAATGATTATTTAACCAGGCGGTTATGTCACGACGAACATGCGGTGGGGCACCGTCGTGCTGGGGTAGGCTGGCGTCTGTTAGGAAATCTACGTTGTTACTCCCGAGAAGCCGCTAAAGCATTTCCATTACAGAACCCGTAGACAAAAATAATATCGGCGTACTCATCATTGCTAAATTCCATTTCACAACACTCAAAAATGGAAAAAAGGAACTTTTGACTTGACTTTTACATACTAAAAAAACGGTAGTAGTAACGATAATTACCGTATAACACATAACTTTGACAAACTATCTCCCAAGAAGCGTCAAGTTGGTATTAAGGCCTCCTATTTTATTTTGGAACTAATTATATCTCGGCTCTTCAAGAATGATCTAATTTGTTTCTTTCTATTTTTACGAAAGTAATGCACTCTAGGAAAACACACAAGTTCAATTTGGAAGTAAAATTTGAAAAAAAAACAGTGGCGTACTATTTTTATTTGGAAAAATGATGCCACTAATCCCCTGTATCTCCGCCACTGGTGCACGTTAATTGTAAGTAAAGACTTCTGAATGTGGAGAATACTTTTAGGTAACAGCGGTGGCCGCAGTAGTACACTCTTCGGTCTCCTGAACAGTCGCCGTGCGGGATCGAATCCCGTCCCAAGAGAAATTTTTCTCTTGGCTATGGATGTTGTGATTGTCCGTAGGTGGTAGGCCGTCTCTGACTGTCGAACGCAGAGGTACCACCCGGCGGATCTCGTAGGCGGAGCCCGAATGTGTGCATGTTGCATGCACACGTGTTTCCTCGCCAGAGTCCGTGTGGCGTTCCCCCTTTGCCTCTATCATCCCCCTATAGCTCCACGGTACCCCATGGGTGTTTAGGCCTTAGACCTTCGTGGTAGTTGGAATATATATATATGTATATATATTCCATATATATATATATATATATATATATATATATATATATATAATTTGGGAAAATCTATTTATGGCATGTTATATATATAGGTATATATATATAGGTATATATATACCTATATGACATCTGAGGGCACATTTCTAAAATATTGGCAGTTATACAGGGTGTCCAATTTTGACCTAGATATCAAAGTTTCGATTTTTTAAATAAAATGCCTCAAATTTTATTGCATATTTGGGTAAACCAATTCAACAGAAGAAGATCGATATAACATACTATGGGGTTTTGGTAATTAGCTACTGAGATGTAAGGTCCAGAAAAACCGTCCACTTCGGCAACCCCTCAATCCGTCATTTTGAAATTTGGAGTGCTGAATTTTGTATCAAAAAAACTTACACACCTCAGCTTTTATCTTATTTGTTGCTATTTCGAATTTTCATTTTTGCTCATACAGGGTGGTCAAAAATGCGAATTGTACTTTTTCTCAAAAATTTCAAATGCATCACCCTATATATTTGTACAAGTTTGGATTCAATCTTTTATAAGCTTTTTTTGGTATAAGGTTTGATTCGGATAAAATCACTAGATTTTGAGTTATTAAGCTTTTAATAGTACAACACACCAAAATTAAGGAAAAAAAGTCACATCATCCATGGAAACAAAATACTAGTTCCATATTGCCACTAACAGTACAGATTTGACGTAAAAACTAATAACAACCAGAACAGTATAAATCAGCTTCAAGCGTAATAGAGAAAAACAACTATAACAACAACATAAACAACTATCACTACTCAAGAAAGACCTAATCTACAAAAACTGCTCGAAAATATCTGCACCATGTTGAATAAACAGCCGTAGTCTTTGGATAAATGACCGTTGCACAACCTTCAGCATGTGCTCCCTTATGTTCAGAAAAGCATCCTTAATCCTTTCCTTCATATTTTTCGGGGTAGATGGTGGATATCTATAAACCTCTTGCTTAACGTAGCCCCGTAGAAAGAAGTCCATCGGTGTCAAATCTGGTGATCTACGTGGCCAAGTTATAGGCCCATCACGACCGATCCAACGATTGTTACTCCAGGTGTCCAAATATTTACGCACACGATTATGATAATGCGCAGGTGCGGCGTCATGTTGGAAGTACATCGTACATATGCATCCGAGTTTGCAGGTTGACATCCTCCAAAAGCAAATGCTGGATAAAAAAATTCAAGTATTCTGTACGTGTTAATCTGTTGTCGACAAAGAAAGGCCCGATAACTTGTCTGCCAATAACTCCTCTCAAAACATTCAAGCTCGATTTATTTTGGAAATCTATTTGCCTAACCCAGTAAGGGTTTTCCGTCGCATAATAGTGGATGTTATGCCTGTTGACAACACCTATGCTGTTAAAAGTTGCCTCATCGTTAAAAAGAACCTTATCCAGGAAAGTAGTGTCTTCACTCACTTTATTTAGCATTATTCTACTAAACTCCATTCGAGCTGCGAAAACCTGAGGACGAAGGCCTTGATGCAAGCATAGGCTATATGGATGGTATCTATGCTTGTGAATAATCCTTTGGACAGAAGTTCTGCTCCAATTTGCAGTACACTTAAATGGGAATTTTCCTGCAACTTTAATAGAACCTCCACTTGATTCAAAACTTTCTCCCAGTGTGGAATATGTTTCCGGCCTTGTTAGGGTACCGTTGCTTATAAATGCGAGATGTTAGGAAACTATTTCTTTGGGCTTCGCCCAAAACGAACACCATATTCACCATTTCATCATTTTCGAACACGTTTTTATTATAATGCTCACAAAGCTAATTTTGACAGTTTGTAACTAATCAATAATTTATTTGTTTCCAAGGATGATGCGATATTTTAGGGAATTAAGCCGTTCTATAAAAGACGTGCTAATAACCGAAAAAATAGCCGTAAAAACCCTTGTGTCTAGTATCAAAAAAGCTTATAAAAAATTGGCTCCGAACTTGCACAAATATAAAGATGCATTTGAAATTTTTGAGCTGAGGTGAGTAAGTTTTTTTAATACAAAATTCAGCACTCCAATTTTCAAAATGGCGGACTGAGGGGTTGCTGAAGTGGGTTTTTTTTTCTAGACAAAACACCTTATATTTCCGTAGCTAATTACCAAAACCCCACAGTATGTTATATCAGTTTTCTTCTTTTGAATTGGTTTATCTAAGTATGCAATAAAATTTGAGGCATTCCATTAGAAAAATCAGAACTTTGATATGTAGTTCGAAATTGGAACACCCTGTATAATGGCCAATAAGGTACCTAGGTCGAATATGGCCACCTTAAGGTTTCTTAACTTTTTTCTAGAATAATAAAGATAAAAGAAACAAGTCAAAGTAGTTGTCCATGAAGACTGAATATTTAACTTTATGATGAAGGCAGAAAAATACAAAGATATTAAATGATAGAAATATTTTCAACAGTTTGAAAAAAAATTGAAATTTGGCCATATTCCGACGGGGTAGGTAAATATGCCCATATATGTCGCCATATTTACGGTATATATTATTTTAAATAGCTTCTAAATAAGTGAAATAAAAATGGACATTAGATTTTAATACAACTTTATTTAAAAGATATTGTTTAGGCGACATCCAGTACATTATCATTGTCGTGGTTAGTCCAGACTGCACCGAGTGCATACAAATTTATCTGTATCTTCTTTTGTTAATCCAACATGTCCTCATGGACATATGTTTCACATAAAAAGCATATTCTCATGTCTGCTATTCTGTCCTCATTGCAAACATAACAGTACCATGAATCTTTAGATTTTTCAGATTGTCCTTTACCACGTGACTGTTTAGAAATCTTCTTCGGAGTTACTGCTTCGCTGTTGTTCCTTTTAGCAGAATATTTTCTTTTTTGGTAAGCCACTTTAAATGGGCCTGGTATATTTTCTATTTTTGTTTAGGAGCATTTGATGGTCCTGACATGTTATTTTTATCTGTAAACATTGATTTTGTTAGCGCCTGTGCGAGACTATTGATAGCTTTTGCCCTCGGAGCAGTTTTTGGGCTTGTCGTTTTCTCTGGAGTTTTTAACATTTGACACAAAGATGTATATGACTCATTAAGTGTTGTGGAGCAGACTACATTTAATTCAGTTTTTGACTCGATATTATTGTTATGTTGCTTTAGTTTGGACAAAGGAATGTGATCGCTACTGTCGTAATCGTCATAAACACTTGGCAGGGGTTCTATAAAGTTCGATATATCTTCTTGATTTGGGTGCTGTGGATGATCATCAGAGGCGTTGTCTGGAGTTGCAGCACAACGCTTTGCTTGGCTTGGCTGTGAATCTGAGGAATCATTTGATGGATTTGAATTACCTTTGTCTTCATTTGGGAGAGGATAAGGAGAATTTCCACTGGCATCAGTAACGTCGCTTTCATTAGTATCTTCATTTTCCTGAGGAGGAATTAACAGATTTGTAGCGTCGCTGTCGTTAGTATCTCCATTTTCTTGATTTCAGAAGGAGAAGCTCCAGGTTCTGCGAAATTATGAGTAGGTATGCTGGGAGCGTATACTTCTTCTGGAATCCTATCTGGATTGAATGGGAAAATTCCGGTCGCTTCAAATCCAGCTTTGACATTAGCAGGTGTCGCAGCTTTATCCCACACTTTGGAAAATAATATCCCAAACCTTTGTTTGGTTATTTTCCTGTCCTCGTGAATAGACCAGTATTTTAAAACTTCTTCATCCCAGTAATATTCAAAAGAACGAAATACTGATTTGTCCATGGGCTGCAATTCATGTGTGGTGTTGCTCGGGAGACAGAAAAGCTTGATGTCGAATTGTTCTGCTGCTTCAACTATCGAATAGTCTAAGTGGCACTTCGCTCCATCCAAGATAAGTAAACAAGGTCCTGGCAATTTAAATTTTGCAAAATGATGTGTCCAGTTCACAAATGTTTCAGAATTCATACTCCCTTTGGGTGTCATTTGGGCTACTGAACCGGTGGGTAACGAATCTACCCATTCTGGCTTCATTTGTTTGCCCTTAAAGAGTATCATGGGCTGAATGACATGGCCTAAAGCGTTGCCACATGAAACTATTGTTACATTCTCGCCGTGTTCGGGTGCTACCAAATGTACTCTCTTGGATCCACGTTCAGCCAAAACTTCTGGTGATTTGTGCAAATTAAGCTGGCAACCTTTTTCGTCAATATTATAGATACGTTCCGGTTTGTTCATAAGGTCATTTTCTACTAAGATTTTCTTCAATTTACTAAAATAATCGGAAACTACTGCTTTATTCAGCTTTTGTGCCCTTGCGGGGTTTAGGTTCTGTGCTTTTCGTCTACTGATATTCCTATGACGTTTTAAAAATCCTCTCAGCCAATCTCGTCCCACCATCAAGCCTCCACTTGGCGCTGGAATGTTATTTTGATCACAGAATGTCTTCACGCATCTACGAAGTACACGCTGTGTTAATGGATATCCCACATTACACAGACGAATAATACGGGATTCCAAAATCTTTTCATCTTCAGGGTTAAGAAGTGGTTTCCGGCCCAAAGTAGATTTGGTCTCTTTGTTTTCTTGTAAATAACGTCTCGGAGTGCGTCTTGGCACATTATAATGCTTGGAAGCCGTATAAATTTTCATTTTACCACTTCTGACTGAAGCTAAAGCTAATTTCATATTAGCATCTGCCCAGTTACTTCGAAGCCCTTTACATTTATAGCGTGCCATGGTCTAAAACAAAAAACAAAAAAACGTGTCAGCAATTCAGTAAGTACTGTTAATATGGCCAAACGGTGGCCATATTTGCAGTCATCCAAATTTGTTGTTTTCATATCCACGAATGAAAAACACACTATTACTTTGATAAATATACAAAGAAATATGAAACTACAATTATTACACAACATCGTAATGTGAATAATAAAGATTTATAATGAAAACAACGTTAAAATACAGGACAATACTTACTTACTGTTTTTATAACCTCAACACTGCTTTTCACTATAATGACGGCTGAGCGGCTAACGCTTGCACGAATGGGTGACAGGTAGGCCGTTCGAATACATGCGACACTAGCGACAATTTAGGGTCGCGTTCAGCTCATAACAAACTTTCGTGATTGGGAAAACGGTATGTGGCCATATTTACAGGCTGGCCATATTCGACCTAGGTACCTTATTTTAGAAATGTGTCCTCTAATGTCATGTATAACATCCCATAAATAGATTTTTCCAAATGTTTTTGTTTATGAGTAATAGTCCGTTCACACATGGATGGACCTTATACAGGGTTACAGGAAAAGTCGTGCTAGATCCGTTAAGGGCGTGTAGTACCCATCATTTCTGACTTATTTCATTATGAAACACCCTACCCTAAACTTAACCCTTTTCGAGATATTCAACTTTTAATGTTTTTATTGAAAATTGCCGATTTTTAGGCTACTAAATGTATTTATTTTTATTTTGTGTGTGTTATTATTACTATTATTGCATTTTAACATGTGTAATAAGATGCTTTAGGACGTCAATCATTAAAATAGTCCATAAGTTAATTGAATAGGCTGTAGTAGATAAGTAATTGAAAAAAATATCAGAAAGTTTATTTTTCTCTAAGGGATATCTAAAAAAAATATTATGGCAATTGTTCGGCAGATGTGTTTTAAAATATCTATGTTTTATCAGCTATCTAACGAGGTATAACAATCTAGGATTTTATTTAAATGCATTGAAAAAACTTAGTTTCATAGGCGACAGTGGAGAAGAAAATTGATACTTAGCCCTAAAAAGTAAAATAAAACAATAGGTAAGCATGAAATATCATTTATTAAATCAGGTTTTCACACAACTTTTTCTTACTCTACAGTTCATGTTCAACATGGCTGCCTCTGTTTCTAATACATTGTCGCATCCTTCTACGGAGACCAGTCTTTACAACTGCAGTGGTCAACGTTGTCCTTAGTTGATTTGCTGCATCGACAATCCTTTCTCTTAATTCTTCCACAGACGAAACTGGATTTGGCTCGCTGTAGACAAGACTTTTCATGCACCCCCACACATGAAAATCCATGGGGTTAGGTCCGGACTTCTTGCTGGCCATGGCAACGGCCCACCTCGTCCTATCCATTTGTTTGGATAATTTGTGTCCAGCCAGTCTCTGACACTTCTCCTGAAATGGGCAGGGCAGCCATCATGTTGGAACCACATGTCCCTTCTCAAGTTGAGTGGCAGATCATCCAGCAAATCTCTGAAGTCTCCTCTCAAGAAGTTTTCGTAATTTTCCCCATTTAGATTGTCCGGGAGAAAGTAAGGTCCAATCAAATGGTTGGAGATAATGCCCATCCACACATTCACGCTGAATCTTCGTTGGGACCTCGCCACTCTTTTCTTATTGGGATTCCTTAGTACTTTTGGGGCCCAGTAATGGGCGTTGTGATAGTTAGTTATGCCATCGTTATCAAATTTGGATTCATCTGTCCATAAGATATTTCTTAGAAAATCTGGGTCTTCTACGTCAGCATTTAGCATAAATCTGCTGAAGTCCAACCTTCTCGCGGGGTCTCCTTCTTCAATAGTGTGTACCGGCGTGTAATGGTACGGGTATAGGCCAGCAGTATGCACTGTAAACCACACTCTCCATTGCGAAAGTCCCAGATCACGGGCAACACGATTAGTGGAAATGGTCGGATCCGCTCGAAAGCGTTGCACTATCTCATTGTCCTGCCGTTCTTCGTTGTCATAAATTCGTGGTCTTCCCAGGTCTGTATTTCGTCTCAAAACAGAGCCAGTTTCTCGAAGTCTTAGATAAACTCTGTTAAAAACGGCCACATCCGGCACTCGACGACCGGGGAAGCGAGTTCTGTATTCGTTGCGAGCTTGCGCAGATACACAATCGCAGTATCCGTAACAAATAAGCATATCAGCATATTCCTCAGGTGTGTAGGACGTCATCTTCAACACTTCCGTATCACAAGTACAAATCAGAGTCCAGTGAACAAGCACAGTATTCACAAATCAGAAGAAATAGTCCAGAATCGTAGCCAAGTCGAGGAAAAGAGCAAAACGATATCACATCTACTATGTACGAAGCACAAAAGCAGACTGACAACCAAAACAACATCCCGTGTTGGATTTCCAGCCCTAACCGGTTATTATAATATGTTTTCTTTCATTCGCACCCACATTAAATCGTCATGTCTCGCTCGCACGGTGCGTCTAAACTTGAAGGAGAATAGGCGTGGGAACTGCTACTGGAGCGTCCCAACTACTTTTTTTCTACGAAATGTAATACAAATCCTAGATTGTTATACCTCGTTAGATAGCTGATAAAACATAGATATTTTAAAACACATCTGCCGAACAATTGCCATAATATTTTTTTTAGATATCCCTTCGAGAAAAATAAACTTTCTGATATTTTTTTCAATTTCTTAACATTCACTTATCTACTACGGCCTATTCAATTAACTTATGGACTATTTTAATGATTGACGTCCTAAAGCATCTTATTACACATGTTAAAATGCAATAATAGTAATAATAACACACACAAAATAAAAATAAATACATTTAGTAGCCTAATAATCGGCAATTTTCAATAAAAACATTAAAAGTTGAATATCTCGAAAAGGGTTAAGTTTAGGGTAGGGTGTTTCATAATGAAATAAGTCAGAAATGATGGGTACTACACGCCCTTAACGGATCTAGCACGACTTTTCCTGTAACCCTGTATATATGAATAAATGAAATAACGGCACATAAAAACAGACTAAAATCATGCGAATTCGCAAAGCGAAATGTCAAATGTAGAAATCAATACAAAAAAAAATACAATATGTTATTATCATCAAGATATTCAGACCCGGAGTAATATCCTTTCTTTATCAACAGTGGCTTAATTCTTTTTTAAAATTGTATGTGCTGGCCTGCTTGGTTCTGTTAGGCAACTTATTATATTGTTTTATGTGCATGTACCTAGGACTAGATTCCATTGTGGACAACTTGTTTGCTGGAATATCCAAGTTTAGGGAATTTCTTGTATGTTTGCTATCCGTCTCTGTGACCATAACTAACCATAAACAACGTGGTTCCATGCTTTTTAGCAATCATCAGTACTGTATAGGTCTAGTCACTGGATACAGATGACAGAAAACAAACGGAATATGGTAGTGAGCGAAGATGTGACACTGCCACCTCTAGTTCGCCAAACGTGGTTCCACCGACCCCTACATAGGTACCAGGAAACTACAGTTTTCCGGCAACTCAGAATAACCGTTCGCTTCGATAAAACGGAAAAATGTCGCCTATCAGTTAGGCGTCTCGTCACTCAATGGAACACTAAGTGCTCACCGTGGTACCAGCTTTGACATACTATGCAAAAGTTGTATAATAAGAAGTAACTGGATAAAATGATCCTGATGTATTATGTTAGTTTAGAAAGTCCTCG